ATGGTGAGGGATGAATGGGGAAAAGCAAAGACACAAAGGGGAAGCCACAGGGCCACCAAGGCCATAGCGGCCGAGGCTGGGAGAGGCCAGGAAAGGGAGCTGGTGCCTGTGGTAGAGGCTCTGAAGGCTGTCCAAAAGGGGTTTGGACTTGGATTGGGGTATTAGGACCACAGAAGGCGCCTGAGACAAGGGTCTTGATCAATCCACAATTTCTGCTTGAAATCATTCCCAGCAGAAGGGCTTCCCAGCATTCTTTCCTCCCTGTGAGCTCCCAGCAACTGCCCCCCACCTCCACCCACGTGACCTCAGTCAGTGCCTGTGACCTGCTGTGTCACCCCTCTGACCCAGCCCATGCCACCTCCTACCTTGGCGCTCTCCCCGCAGCCTCCTGGCCTAGTGCCCCCATCGCCATTGCTCTGCACACGGTCTCACACTAACTCTAACGCTACCTGGGGCAGGTAGACGGCCGCACACTGCCCTGACAGGAAACCTTGCACCCGGCTCTTTCTGGGGTTCCTCCTCTCAGGGCAGACTCCTCAGCAGAGCCATCTGTACCCACTACCTCTCCGCTTAACAGGCACTGCCTCAGCACATTCAAAGAGGGGCAGTGGCTGTAGGGCACCAAGAAATGTCTGGGCATCAGGAAATTGCCAGTGGGTGGCCCCCCTATTCCAGAGGTACCCTCTCCTGGGCATTGGCTACTCTCTACCCCAGCTTCCTTGGACTCCATCTCTGGCTTTCTGGGAAAGGGGCACATCAACAAAGCCAAAGACTGACCCTCATGGTCACCCTGATCAGGATTCTGGACACTTATTTCACTTACCAGAAGAAGGTGCCAAAGGCCACATGTGAAGAAAGAGTGGACATAGAAGAAAGGGCGTGACTGAGAGCATCAGACTCCAGTGACCTGCTGCCACCACCCTATCCTTGGGACAGTGAAGGATCCACATCACTGGGCTATGGCTGCTGTCCCCTCTGGGCAGAGCTGGGACAGGTCTGGTTGCCTCAGGGCTCTCTGACTTTAATGTTAGTTGTCCTTCTGCTTCAGAGAGGTCGCTTTTCTGATCTCTGATGGGGTCACTGGCATCAGCTCCTTTTATGCAAGTGCGCACACGCACACACACACACACACATACACACCAGCTATGGCACTTTCTCCTTAGAATTCTCTCTCCTGTGGCTTCCAGGAAGAGTCAGATGCCTTAGAACCTCCAGAATATGCTCATTGACTCTCTCTTTGTATGTTTGGTATTTTTACAATTGTTCTAAAATGCCACCATCTCAGCCTTCTGACAGGCTCAGTGACTGGTCCTGGCAGAACACATGACTGGCTACCAGCAGGTCCCCGGATGCCCTCACTCACAGGGATATGACGGAGAAACTGCTGGGTCTTCAACAGACTCTTGCCTCCTGAAGCCCAGGCCATGGGAAAGACACAGTGAGGACAGAAATAGAAAAAAACGGTTTTGGCCACTTAGGATAATTGTAAACATCAAGTGACATTGCAAAGAAAAACAAAAAGTAAAATTATATGGTTGATGAGCTGGGAGGAGCTCACAGATAATTTTGCTAGCCAGCACTTACCATGTTAGTCATATTACACTTACCTTTATTATTTAATTCAGTCGGTAAATATGCTACTGAGCATCCACCAGATGCCAGGCACCATGCTAGATGCTTGGGCTGCATCAGTGACAAAGCAAAGATCCTGCCCTCTGAGCGCTTACACTCCATGAGAGGAGGAGCAGACCCACGACAGTAAATAAGGTCCAGCCTTCTGGTGAGCGGTGCTTGGGTGGGGGCACCCTCCCATGGAGCTAGCAGAGGAGCCTGGGGAGCAGCTCGTTGCAGAAGGGGCACTGGAGTGGAGGCCTGTGGAAGAAAGGGGCAGGAGGCCAGGCTCTGGAGGGGAGGGGGCCGTGGGAGACGAGGGCGAGGAGGGTCTGGGGAAGAGGTCATCTAGGGCCTGCTCACTGGTTTGCTAAAGGACTTAGGCTTTTATGGGAATGAAGTGGGAAGCACAGCAGAAGAGGGGAAGGGATGACGACAGCCCCAGGGGGGCGGGCTCAGACTGCAGCCCCAAGCTCAGTGCAGGGCATGGCGCCTGATGAGAGCCCGATAAATACTAAATACCAGTGGATGAATGAATGAATGAGTCCAAATGGGAGATTACGTCCACACCTTTCCAGGGAGATGAGACTATGGACACTGCTGGACAAATGTTTGCAATCTGGCCATTGTATATGGATCAGAGATACATGTCCATATCCTTGGGGAGTTTTTCCAAGTCTTCATATGTAGACCCAAAGGGCAGATTCCTAGGTTGGGTGGGGCCCAGAATGAGTATATGGTCTCACACAGCCCTGCCCCAAGTGAGAAGCATCAACCTAGACATTTCCAGCTCCCTCCAAATTCTCAGCATGTGGCATCATATCCAGCCCCAGGGCACACATTAAATAAATGAAGCTGAAGCTACGTTTGTTGACTGAATTCATGGATGTATAAATGCATGAAGATAGCTAATTAATTGCCCTTTTCCATTTTCAATTCAAGTGTTCGGAATTGTATAAATAAACAGCTCTCCAGAAAATGCAAAGCCAAGGGCTGTTAACTGTCTGCTGTCCCCCACCTCGTCTGAATCTCTTCTGCTTGGCATCCACCTGCTCTGCCCTAACCAAGCGGGAGCACAGTCGGCCCTTTCTTTGGAGGGATGCAGGGATTCCGAAAGCAGACTGCCTTTCATAACCCAGTGTGTTTCTTCAGAGCTGTGAGCCAGCGGGGCCTCTCCTCCGATGACAGGGCTGCCGAGGAATGGGGCTTTACTAGACAGCCCAATGCCCCCAGAGAAAAAGGGTGCCCAGCCCGGGGAGCAGAGGAGTGGGGTTAGCAGAGGCTTGGGGTGGGGACAGCATTTCACTTCCCTTTCCATGAAGGAGGGGTCCGCCCACATTCCAGGGACCGGGACCAAATTCTTCCTGCAGGAAATTCTGGGGCTGTGAGGCCAGCTCTCTCCACCCCTTCCCTTCTCGCTTCCCCCATCTCAGCAGCTGCCCCCCTCCAAAGTTGGGGCCCGGGCTCAGGGCGTCTGGGTCTCACAGATTCCTGGCCTCTTGCTTGCAGGTGCCAGCTGCCAGAGATTTTTGCATGTAAACAGTAAAGAGCCCCTTATTTTCTTGACATACTTGGAATACATATGGCCATTTTTTTCCTCTTCCCAAAATTAAAAAAAGTCCATAAATTCCACAAAAGGCACCTGACTCAACTCTCTTTTATCCTTCCTATTGCTTTCCCACCCCCACCCTTGTAACGCTGAACGTGCAGTCCCAGGAGCCTGCACTCTGCAGCTATACCTGGTGGCTGGAAGGGGTCTCTCTGACCCATGTGAGGCCAGAGGCCCACCTGGTGCATTGAGGGGACTACTCTGAACTTCCAGAGGCCAAGGAGTGGTTAGTTAAGGGCCTGGCATGAAAATCAGGCAGGCTGGTTTGAATCCTGGCTCTTCTACCCATCAGCTGTGCAGCAAATGAGTTGTGTCTCTGACCCTCTTTCCTCTTGCCTTAGGTGAGTGTGTCCGGAGTTTCTTTCTCCTAGGGAGACCGTTGAAGGATTAAATACAATAATGAAGAGAGAACACTTCACAAATGATAATTGTAATTATTGTGTTCTCATTAGTATTGAGTACCTGTCATATACCTCCTACTGTACAGGATTCCAGGACCTGAATTAAATATCCCAAGCTCTCAGAGACCACCTTATTGAGGACAGAGTCAAGGAAACAAACCCTTTGGGCTATGCATGGTACAACGGTGTGCAAGACAGAGCGGAAGGCAGGATTAACCCTTTGCAAAGAGATCAAGACAGTTTCACAGAAGAAAGAGACCTTTGAAATGGTTTTGAAGGTTGAATAAGAGTTCTTAAGCTAGAAAAGGAGGAAAGGACACCACAGGTAGAAGACACAGCACATCCCAAAACTCAGAAGCCCAACTAGCAAGCTGGATTTGGAAATTCAGGTGTAGGGATCTAACGTGGGAAGATGAAGGTGTCAGGGAAGCTCACCAGATGAGCAATGTCCCATCCTAGAGGGCTTCTCCCTAAGAGCACTGCCTCACAGTAAAGGCTTTCCTTTCAGGCAGCTCTCTTTGGCTGTCATTGAAGGGGGTCACAGGGAAGACACTAGAAGGGACAGAGGCTGGGTCAGAGCTAGGAGATGGATGCAAGAGGGCAGGGCAGCCGCCCCCAAGCTGCAGTCATCCCCTGCCTCCTTCCTGGTATTTGCCATATCCAGGCACAGCTCAACAATTACTTGTGTAATATTCCCCTTAATGTCAGCTCATTCTTTACCATTTTATGTCCCTTCCATTGTACTATGGTAGCTACTGCTTCATTTTTTCCCCAAACATAATGTAAACACTCTTAAAATGAAAAGTGTATGTCCATTTGCCATTGGAAGTACCTCTTTGCCCACCAGCAGCACCTGCCTCAGGCTTTGGGAACCATCCATCCTGCTACAGGGGTAAGTGGAGGCCGTAGCAGCAGCTGCAGTTGCTGCTCTGAAAGCAAAGACAGGCAAGCCTCCCGTGCCTGCTGGCTGGCGGTGGTCATTAGCACCCTTGCCCATCCAAGCCCATGGATTCCAGCTCTGCTCCACGGGCAGCAGACCAGTGGGCTCCCCCGAGAGCGAGAGATTTAAGCAGATCCCAGGATGATGTAACTGTGGGTTCCTTGTGGGTAAGTGCATTGTGCTGTCTGAGAGAGAGGAGGAAGACAGGAAGGCGGTAAGGGAGGAATCCCACCCAGCACCTGATTGATCTTCACAAGAATCTTGTGAGGTGGGAATTATTGATGATCCATTTTACAGATGAGGAACCAATCTCAGAGACATTAAACTACTGCCAAGGCCATTCCTGGTAAGAAACAGAACTAAGCTACTAGTCCAGATCTGTCTGACTTTAAAGTCACTGCTTCCTTTTAAAAGAATAAGGCCCATAATGACACCATTGTAGCAGAGCAATTGTTATTTTTTAAATCCCCTCCCAGTCTTCCCTCATCCATTGTGCAAAATATACACATTATCTTCCTTTGTTCACCCAGCATTATATCATAAACATTTGTAATGTTGCTAAGTAGTCTTTACTATAATCACTTTTACATAATATTTCACCCTTTGGACATATCATGATTCACTAAGCCTGAGCATTTAGATGGTTTCAGCATCTCAGGATTAGAAATCCTCCCCACCCCCACCCTTCCCAAGTCAGGCTCCTCTGAGATGAGTCAAGGTCTGCACCTGGCCTACCTCTGTAAGGTTATGTAGGTCACTGGGCCTGATCACGCCTGCAGTAGAGCAACAAGGCATGCCAGAGGCTCTTGAAAGGTGAGAGCTACTCAGAAAGTCATGTCCTGCCTCCCCACCCACGTGCTCTGCCAAGCCTGGCATGGCCTTGCCCCAGCCACTGCCCCCATCCACTCAGGCCACAAAATCAGAGGTGGCGTGGACTGGGGAGGCCAAAGGCTGGTTGAGGTGGGTCCTTGGTAGTGGTGAAGACAGTCAGTCCCATGCCCAGATTCCTCAGGCACCAAAAGGCACCCAAATGATCCCAGAACGGTTCAGCATTGATTCCATTACTGGGACAGGAGCCGGAGCACTGGGCACTGCTTGGGCCCCATTCCCTTGAGAGGCCCTGTCCAGAGAGTTCTCTGTTCTCTGTCCCCACAGGGAACATGGCCTCATCCCAAGCTGGCTCACCAACAGTTCTCAGATGGAGTCCAGAAGCAGAAAAAGGCAAGCAAACATTGTACCACCACCTCAGGTGGATAGCCCAAGCATTTTCGGGATGCTTCTCTGTTTTATCTGTTTGAGAAGCAGATATTTGGGGAGGATGTGCTCAGAACTGCTTCAAGGTTGCCAGTCCCATGGGAAATGGTTCACATTCTTTGCATAGTTGGAGGGCTGAGAGGCGGTAGAGATGACTGCTCGGGGCCTCTCCTGACCTGAGGAAGTTGAGCTATGGCCTCGGCATCTTCCCTCTGTGATGGGTTCCAGTGCGGAATGCGCTGGACGCTCTTTCCAAGAAGGCAGGGTGGTGGGAAGTCTCTACAGGAGCTGTTTGCAGAGAGAGTCATCGAGTTACTTATGCAAGCCCAGCACCAAGTACGCTTTCAGAGGTCAGGTTATCCAGGACCCCGCCCAGGGCAGCGCACCCTTTCCCAGGGCAGGTGTCGGCCTTCAGAGATGCCTACAAAGTGCCAGTGCAAGTGGCTTTCTGGAGCCATGAGGGACATCAATTTCTTCTGGGCATGTTGCTGTTTACAATTTTTTTCTTATAACAAGGCACATGTATCATTTTAAAACAAAAATCAATAGTTATTTTTAAATAATTAACTAAATAAAAAAGCCTCAGAACCAGGGCATTTTATCTTTGCCTTGATTGTGAACCCCAGGATGTTGCAATCTTTCTTGTCAGAAAATCCTAATGTCACCCCTAGGTGCCTTTTCCTGCAGCTATTTGGACACATTGTCATGTTGCTAAGAGGAGGTGGAATAGTGGCCTCCTTGGCTCAAATCTGTGGTTGGTGCACATTCCTCACTGGGCACACTGGCCAGTGGCCAGCAGCCACTCCTATGGAATTCTCTGAAATGAGGAACAGCATTCCTGAGACCATTGAGTGGAGACAGCCTCAAAAGGCAAGCTGGACTTCCTTTAGGCCCTGCTTGTTGCCAGGAAATGTAGGAGGAGAAAAGCTGCCTCTGGCAGCACTCTGTGGCCTTTGCACAGGCCCCTGCCCACCTGGCATGTGTAGATGTGTTATTGGGAAGCTGGGCCTGAGACCCACTGAAACTGACACTCTTCTGGGAGGTGGGCCCTCTGGATGGCCACAGCTTCCACTGCTTCCTCCAAAGCTTCAGGAAAGCACTAGAAGAGGCACTGAGGGCAGGGCAGGTGGAATGCCAAGCAGCTTGTGACCTGCTTGGCCACCCTGTAACCATTTGATGTGAAACTGGCAGAAAAATGCTCCTGGGAGCCTGATGCCAGGTGTGTGAGTGGGACTTAGAGAGGACAGGACCCCTCTCTCTGGTGGCCACTGTCCAGGAGGGAGGATTGAGAGGCATGCCTTAGAAGTGTCAGAGCCCAACAGGGGTGTGTGCCTGCGGGCTGACGGACCAGAGCTCTCACGCTGCCTGCACTTCCTGTAAAGCAGAAGCTCTCAGTGCCGGCAGAGCATCACAGAGCACCTGGAGAGCTTTTCAGATTCCCAGGGCCCAGGCTGCTCCCCAGAACAATTCCATCAAACTCTTTGGAGGTGGGACACTGGCATCTATATATTTTTTAAAGCTTCCATGAAATTAAAATATTCAGCCAGGGTTGAAAACCAATGCTTTAAAGAGATAGCTGATACCTACCAGGCTCATCAGACAAAATAAGTAGGGCATGATCCTTGGAGGCACCTTCTCCCTGAGGCCCTTCTCACTCTTTCCAAATTCTCACCATTCTTCAAAACCCACCTCAATCCCCACCTCCTGAGGGAAGTTCTCCCTCTGAGGTCCCCTGTCATTTAGGACCTGCGTCACTTACCAGACATGGCCATCAGTGGATGGATATTTGCCCTGTCTACCAACTGGCAGTTTGTTCCCAGGGGGACAGGTACTCTGTTACATGTCATGCTACCTGTAACCCACTGACCTATCACCGACCACCATTCTTTGCCCATATTATATGCTCAACAAGCATTTTCCGACTGACTTACATTCTATTGCATTTCAACATTTCAGGTGAACTTGGTGAGAGAGTTGAAAGAATGTCTCATACAAATTAGTGGTTTTACTGTTGATCACGGCAGTATGTCTGGTGGAAATGCGGGTGGGCAGCAGCCGGTGGGAATGATGTGACAGGGCCAAGGGGGCCTTGCCAACACCTGGGGAGATGCTGATTTCAGCACAGAGGCTGGAGAAGCAGTATGGAATAGCCAGGGTTTGGAGGTGACTGGCCCGGCAGGCCAGGATCTCTGGAAGGGTGCCCACCCATAGGCAAACATTTTCACTTTCTGTCCAAACCAAAGGACGTTTATGGTCACCAAATAGAAAACAAATAAGCAAATCTTTAGACTCCAGAAATATGAAATGTATTTCGGTTAATTTTGTTTTTTAAACAGAAGAAGGGCTTTTCAATTCTAACGCTTTTATGTCATTTTTTACCAAAAGATTTTAGGTGTCTGGGCTGTGTGGGTTTTCCAGGAAGTGTTGCTGAGGAGGAGTTAGCAGTGCAAAGGTGAGTTATGAGGGAAGAGGTATCCACTGCTAAAGGGGAGGGAGAAAACAGGACTGGGGCCTTCAGACCACTACACAGACCTTATGGTCTGTCAGGCCACCAGCGACTGCCAGAGGAGTCCAGGGCTGGGTGGGAATGTGGAAATGGATGGGCCCTTGTACCACCACTTTGCTCAGTCATTGGCCAAGCCCACCCCAAGAAGGGCCTAGACTTGGTCTGAGAGCTGAGTGGACCCTGCAGAGACAATAGCTGTCAGCTGCCAGCTGACCACAGCCTTGCAGCTAGGCAGCCGTTTCTTGGAGGAAAATCTTCGTGTTTGCCCCAGAGCCCCTCCTCCTTCATCCCAGCCTGTGGTCTGAGTGGGCCCTACCTGCTGTGTTTGAACCCCGTGCCTCCGCTGTCTTCGGGTCCCCTCCACTCCCCCCACCACCTTCCTTCCCTCCCGCCTCACTTGGCACAGGGCGCCTCTCACCAAGGATCTGTTCTGTCTTCTCCTGCCCTCCACTTTTTCCTTCATTTATCTCCTTACAATACTCTGCCCAAAACTCACCACAAACAAAATCAAAAGATGAAGGATGGCCCGGGAAAAGATCTGTATGACTTGAATCACTAAGGACTCATCTTCCTAACATGTAAAAAGCTCAACACAAGTTTCAGATAAAAGCAAACAGAAAAATGAGCAAAAGATATGAATGGATGGTTTATGGAAAAGGAAATACAAATGGCCCTTAGATGAAAAGATGCTCAACCTGACTCTTAGTAAAATAAATCCAAGACACAGAGGTACCATTTTCACTTATCAGATTGATGAAAATGAAAAAGTTTGATTCAGCAGGGTTGGTGGGGAAACAAACACACTCACAAACTGCCCGTGGGAATATGAATTGGTAAAGCTGCAGGGGAGACAGTTTGGCAATATCCTTCTAAGTTACAAATTCCAGCAACCTTTGAAAAACAGTAGAATATAATGGTTAAGAGAATGGACTGGAGCCTGAGCACCCTGTCTAAATCCCAGCTGTTCAAGTTATCTAATTTATCTTGCCTCAGTTTTCCTCATCTGCAAAATGGGATGATAATGGTTCCTACCTCTGGAGATTCTTGCAGGGATTAAAATACATTAATTATTGTAAAGCACTCATCACAGTGCACAGCTCTTAGTAAATGCCATGCAAATGTTAACTATCATTAGTATTATTTGAATGAACAATTCCACTGCTAGGAATTTATCCTACAGATAGGCTTGCATATGTGGTTAATGACTGTACAATGTTGTTCATTGCAGCATTGGTGCAACTTGGGAGAAAACTGGAAATAAACCAGATGTTCATAGAGAGGCTAAATTAATTATGGTACATGTGTACAATGGAATACTATGTGGATGCAGAAAAGTAACAACCCCTTTAGTACTGATCCAGTGTGTGCAGAATATTATCATAAGTTTGTAAATAAGGAGAAGTATAAACACAAGTCCACATTCCTTTATCCACAATTATAAAATTCAAACATCTCTAAAAAAGACAGATTAAAAAAAATTAATTTGGTACAAACACATTTCACAGCAAAACCTGAGATGAATAGGGCTTTATTTGCCCTGCTTGGTACAGAAATCTTGGTGTGTTTGATCACAGATTCTGCTGGGGGTGTGACATAATATAGACACACAACTATATACTTCTTGACTTCTGAATTCCCAAAAACACCTGCCCCCAAGGGTTCCATTTAAGGAAATGGGGACCTTTATTTACTTTTTTTATTTTTTAATTAAACTGTCTCTTCAAGGATGCACAAGAAACTAGCACCAGTGGCTTCTAATGAAAGGAGCTTTCTGGGTGTATGGCAGGAATGTGAGGGACAGTTTCACTTATCTGAATCCAAGAACTTAAAGGCTCTGTGGGTATCTTATTTATTCAAAATAAAACTAAAAGTAAATAAATACCACTAGAGCCCAGGATGCCAGATCATCTTCAAACCTGAATGCCCTCTCATGGCATCTCGGTGGCAGGCTGGAAACTCAGACCTGGGAACCAGGGCTCAAGGGTGGGGGCAGGAGCTTCATCTCTGACTCACCATGTGGCTCTGGGCACGGTGGTGAGGCCTACTCCCTAGGAAAGTGGAGATAATCAGAATGACTCAGTGGCGGGCACTCCAATGGGCTCACTGGGGGGAGGCCAGGCCCCTTCAGCAGCACTCAGCCACCCTCCTTCCCCTCCCAGAGAGGGGGAGAGCCATCCTTCAGACTCCTCCTCTGCATATCTCCCAGCAGGGATGCATTGAGGATGTGCAGGAAGTTCCCAGCAGCCCTGTTGTCGGCAGTGAAAATTCAGAACAGGTCATATGTCAACTTGATATTAAATCCAGGGAATGAATAGACCCAAATGTGCTGGAACAGAATAATGCCCAGGACCCAGTGTTGAGTGAATAAAGCAAACTGCAGAATAATATATATACATACAGGATGACAAAAATATATATATATAATCCCATAAGGACCCCTTAGACGGCAGGAGAAGGGAGGAGAAACTAGCAGATGGAAGATGTTGGTGCGTTTATGCAAGAGGAAAAGCAAGTGGCAGAAAGGCAAGCTCAGTGCAGAGTAGAGAGCAGGGCACAGGCTTACAGTCTGCAAAGCCAGCAGTCAGACTTGGCTCCCTGCCCAGCTGGCAGCCCACTAGTTTATGACTCTCCCCCCAAGGAGACCACAGAGAACTCACACCGAGGGACTCACCTACAAGAGCTCCGAGCACAATGGGGCACAGCACAGAAAACAGGACTGAGAGTCCACATGCGAAGGATAAGCCTGCCAGATCCTTTTCCCCACACCTACCACCCCATTTACTGCCAGCCCTCCACACACTGACTCCTGCCCTATTGGTCTGGAGCAGATGAAACCATTCACAGAAGAAAATGAGTGACTTCAGAAGAGACCCAGAGAAACTGACTTCCCAGACAACCCTTCCCCGTTTTCTCCTATCACCCTCCACATAGTGTTTCCACTTAGATGTTTTTAGCACCCCTCTTGAAATATGAACAGATATGCAAGAATTACCAGTCATTTGAGAAAACCCCCAACACAAAAGACAGAAACCACAACAAAGAAATAGAGTAAAAGCAGATGACAGATAATGTGCAGAGTAGAAACATCAAGAAAAACAATAATATCTTCAGGGAGATGAGAAAATAGCTTCCATTAAATGATCAAAATATATTTAAAGACAGAGAAGAAAAGAAAAATCTCTTAGAAATCAAAACTGTGATTCTAAAGTAAAAACAGATAAGGTTTAATAAGAAGATCTGGGGATGACAAAAATCATCCAGACAGAAAAATAAAATGAAAAAGGACAGGAGAGAAAAAATGAGAAAGTTTGGAAGCCCGTTCAAGAGGCCCAATCTGGAAAGCACAGAAGAGATGGAGGGAAGGAAATGATATACAAAAGTATCACAAGAAAACTTCCCCAAACTGAAGGACACGAGCTAAGTGCCTCTCAAGCACTGAGTACAATAAATGAAGAATGATGTGCAGCAAGGCAAGTGGTGGTGAAATTCCTGAATACCTGGTGCAGAGAAAAGTTCTAAAGGCAGCAGGAATCAAATAGATCACTACCAGACAAGCTGGGATCAGATCTGGGGAGGGCTGGGAAAAGACTGGGGTTTGATTAGTGGAGCAAGGGTGAACTCAGACTGAAGACTTATAAAATGTGTTAGAATTGAGGTGCTTTTTCAGATGTTATATAGGCAGTTGAACACAGGAATCTGGAAATCTAGGCATTTTAGTGCAATCTTTTCATTCTTTGTTTGTTTTTGGTAGGACACCCCTCCCATAACCCATGTAACAACCTAGTTCATATCCTTTCATACTTGTTTCTGCACCTATATATACACACACAAACATATGTATACATGTCATGCGCACATATCCATATGTGTACACACACATATGCAAGCATATCCACATGCAGAAGAGGGACAGTGTGGGAAGGCAACTTCCAGACCTCTGGCTGTAGTGTCTGCGCTGACTGAGCAGGGCCGGCCCACCAGGGCAGGCCTGTTCCCAGGACATGGGACCTCCCAAACCTGGGGCTGTGACTGGAGGACTCCCTGTCCACGTTGCCAAAACTTCCTCAGTACAGCACTTTGGTCTTCAGCCTCCTCCAGCAAACTCCCCATTTTTTACTCACAGGAGCATTTCCCAATAAACCTCTTACAAGTAAATTCCATTCAGTGACTAATTCTTGGAGGACCCAAACTAGCAAAGTATATATATGTGTGTGTGTGTGTGTTTAAATCAGTGTTTTACCTAAATACTGTACACGCTTTTCTTATTCATCAATATCTAATGAAAAGTTAACACGGATGTATCTCTATTTTATTCTTGTTAAGGGCTGTACAACATTCCTAGATATGCATGCACCATAACCGATTCAGCCATTTGCCAATGAGTGGGCATTCACTTTGATTCTGCTTTTTGGGCCTGTAGACAATGCCCAATAATCATCATTATCTTGTACAGATGTTTGAGGACCGATGATAAAGAATGGATTAGTGGTCAAAATATATACACATGATGTATACAAGTTATAAATATAAAATGATTGATTTTATATAAGAATTTTAATAGTTGCAGATTGATTTTTTAAGGATGATAAAAGTGCACATTTCTGTTAACAATGTACGTGAATCTCCTCTGCAGGTCCACTACCTAAGGTACTAACAACCTTTCTCACTTTTTTCAGGCTGACCTAACCATTTTGCTAATTACTGATGATATTTCATATTTTTTGGCTTTGGAACTGTTCTTCCCTACATTGCCAATATTTTTATTGGGTGGTTTGTCCTTTTCTTGCCAATTTGTAAAAGTACTTTGCATCCTTTGTCCTGATTCAGAAATACAGTTTCCAAATCTCTTTATTTGTTGTCTTCAAGTTGTCTCTTGCCAGAGAAACTTAAAAATTTTAGTCTAGCCAAATTTGTCCATCTTTTCTTTCATAACCTCTGGTTTCTGGTATTCCCTGAAGCTTTCCTCCACCCCAAGTCTTTGTGGCCCAAGAAGGGCGCTAGAGCCCTAGCCATCAGATCTGTATTACAGGCAGCATGATGGAGAAAGGGACAAGAAGGACACTCCGCTTCCCTTTCAAAGAAACTTTCCGCAGATTTCCACACGATAATTTCATTTACATGCCATTGGCCATAGCTTAGTTACACAGCCATACCTAGCTGCAAGGAAAATATCTCCATGGCTATCTTTGGAAAATGCAATCTGCCACACCCACGCTTAAAACCAAGGGCACTCTGCTTCACATCATTCCACAGACAAGCAGAGACCACACACTTCCAAAGATGAGCTAGTGCCTGAGAACCCACCTCTTTGGACAGAACGGGCTTCTATTTTAGCCTCCATAGGCAGCATGCGTAAAACAGTAGGCCTGATAATCCAGGAGACGGTACTCAGGAGGGTCCCAGCTCAGCGACTTGTGTGAGCACGATTGCAGAGTGGCCCCAGGTTCCAGAGGTGGCGCCTCTGCATTGGGCCCCTCTCCTCTCCGTGTCTGCCCCAGGGGATGGGCAGGAGGTCTGTGGCTGGGTGGGGAGTAGCTAAGCCTACTGGCACGCAGGGTTGATGGCTTCTGAAATCTGGGAAATACCACTAGGCGTTTCCAGGCAGATAAGGCTTTAGGGAATTACTTAATGATTCGTGCCAGTCTGTGGGGTGTGTCTGTGCCAGAGAGAAAAACATGACATTGGAAATACTTTCTCACTCCCTCACTCAAGTCACTTGCAAGCCCACTGGTCATTCATAGGGCCAAAAGAGGGGCCAGCCACACTGCCCAGATAGTTCTGATGGGTTTTCTTCCTACAGTTCTGCTTTCCGTTGAGAGACAACAATGGAAGAGGTATGTCAATGGAGAGTAGCTGACTGTGAAGAAGAGAGACCTGGCAGAAGCTGGGAAGGAAGAGACCCAGCGTGCCACACTCGGGGAGGATGTGGATCCTAAGACAGGCCTGCTTGCAAACGCTGGTCCTGCCACGTCCCAGACAGTCTTCTCTGGGAGCCTCCAGGTCCCTGAGCCTTGGTTTCTCATCTGAATAGTGGGAGTGGCCAACCTGGCCCTGCCCCCTTGTGGGAGTTGAGAACGGGGCTGATGTGGGGAGCCCTCCAGTCTCTCTCATAGGTAGGAAAGCCCATGATCACCTATACGGACTAGCATGCTCTGTTACAGTTCTCTCGTTCTTAAAAAATACCTTTAAGAAAATTATGTAAGTATTACATGTTTGCTGTTCAGGTAACCAGGAAACACAAACAAAAAAAGGCGATAAAAGAGAAAAGAGAAAAGCACTTGCACTTTCCAATCTCTAGATGTAATTTTTAAATGACCACACGTGATATGTGATTCTGTAATCTCCTGTTTTTCCCTCAAGAATATGCCATGAGTTTCTTTCCAGGTCGATACGCATACTTGCACAACGTATTTTAATGCTTGCGTGATACTCTGTCACACCAAATTCCCTTCTGAGCACAGGATTGGTATTACTGATTTTGCCTTTCCCTCAGGTCCCAATAGGCCCAGCACAGAATTGGATCCTCTCTTTATTTAAAATGCTCTATTTTGTTCACCACGGGTTGATTTCTTTTTCTTTTTTTTTATTTTGGTATCATTAATATACAATCACATGAGCAATATTGTGGTTACTAGATTCCCCCCATTATCAAGTCCCCACCACATACCCCATCATGGTCACTATTCATCAGTGTAGTAAGATGCTGTAGAGTCACTACTTGTCTTCTCTGTGTTATACTGCCTTCCCCATGTCCCTGCCCCACATTGTGTGCTAATCATAATACCCCTTGTTCCCCTTTTCCCTCCCTTCCTACCCACCCTCCCCAGTCCCTTTCCCTTTGGCAACTGTTAGTCCATTTTGGGTTCTGTGAGTCTGCTGCTGTTTTGTTCCTTCAGTTTTTGCTTTGTTCTTATGCTCCACAGATGAGGGAAATCATTTGGTACTTGTCTTTCTCTGCCTGGCTTATTTCACTGAGCATAATACCCTCTAACTCCATCCATGTTGTTGCAAGTGGTAGGATTTGTTTCTTCTTATGGCTGAATAACATTCCATTGTGTATATGTACCACATGTTCTTTAACCATTCATCTACTGATGGACACTTAGGTTGCTTCCATTTCTTGGCTGTTGTAAATAGTGCTGCAATAAAAATAGGGGTGCATATGTCTTTTTGAAACTGGGCTCCTACATTCTTAGGGTAAATTTCTAGGAGTGGAATTCCTGGGTCAAATGGTATTTCCATTTTGAGCTTTTTGAGGAACCTCCATACTACTTTCCACAATGGTTGAACTAGTTTACATTCCCACCAGCAGTGTAGAAGAGCTCCTCTTTCTCCACATCCTCACCAGCATTTGTTGTTTCTAGTCTTTTTGATGTTGGCCATCCTAACTGGTGTGAGATGATATCTCATTGTGGTTTAATTTGCATTTCCCTGATAATTAGCGATGTGGAGCATCTTTTCATGTGTCTGTTGGCCATCCGAATTTCTTCTTTGGAGAATTGTCTGTTCATACCCTCTGCCCATTTTTTAATCAGGTTATTTGCTCTTTGGGTGTTGAGGCATGTGAGTTCTTTTACATTTTGGATGTTAACCCCTTGTCAGATATATCATTTATGAATATATTCTCCCATACTGTAGGATGCCTTTTTGTTCTGCTGATGGTGTTCTTTGTTATACATAAGCTTTTTAGCATGATGTAGTCCCATTTGTTCATTTTTTATTGTTTCCCTTGCCCGAAGAGATGCGTTCAGGAAAAAGGTGCTCATGTTCATATTCAAGAGATTTTTGCCTATGTTTTCTTCTAAGAGTTTTATGGTTTTGTGACTTACATTCAGGTATTTGACCCATTTTGAGTTTACTTTTGTGTATGGGGTTAGACAATAATCCAGTTTCATTCTCTTGCATGTAACTGTCCAGTTTTGCCAACACCAGTTGTTGAAGAGGCTGTCATTTCCCCATTGTATATCCATGGCTCCTTTATCGTATATTAGGATTTTTGATTTGTTAAAATATTATTTATCATGATTATGGGGTTTGGGGCACCCCTAACCTTCTGCACCTTAGTCTCCATCCTGGGTCACATGGATAGTCCATACTTGGTATCACGGATTGTTGGGATTTTAGGATTATTTCCAATTTTTCCAATTTATTTGCCTCTACATTTCCAGCACCTAACACAGTTCCTGACATCTGGTTGGCACTTAATACATATTTGCTGAATGAGTCAGTGAACAAATGAATGAATTGGTGAGGAAGGAAACACTACAGTGATCATTGTTGCAGGGTGTGGATGTTAGGAGAGGGGGGCAAGAGGCAGAAGCCATGCTGGACAGGGAAGCCCACCACCCATGCATCCACCACAGAGAGTCAAGGGGAGGAAGCAGCCCGAGCCAGGTGGGTGTAGGACAGCTCTCTGGTGAGCCGGGGTGGCCTCTCAGTGTATGCACTGCACAGGACTACTGGAAGCCCCCGTTAGAGGTCCCCACCATTACCCAATGGCTCTGGCCTGGACCTGGCTCAGACCGCTGGAACCAAAACACTGCCACGTCCCTCCTAAGGGATGAGCACGCGCTCATGCGGAGGCACACACACCCAGCCCTGAGAGCCCCCTTCGTACAGGCTGACTCAGGGGCTCACGTGGACACTGGGCTGCAGGCCCACTGGCCGGGCCCCTTCTCCTGGGGCACTGGGACTCTGTCCCCAGCACAGAGCTGCCTCCCTACAGCAAGGGTCACAAGGGATTTTCCCAACCCTAACCAATGTGTGGAATTTCAAAATAACAAAGCTAGAATCCAAAAGAGGAAATTCTAAGAACATGAAATAAGTCAGAGAAGCAGAGGTGGGTGTTTATTTTCCATTAACTTGCTGGTCCTCTGCCTCCCTACCCCCACCCCAAAGCCTGGGGGAGGGGTCCGGATTCCAATGTCAGTACCACAAAGCTAAAGGAAACCCATCTTCCTGTGTTTGCCAGGGAACAATGCTGAGAGGCCATTCCAAGGCCTGCACTTTTCCTCTGTCTCCAAGAATTTAGGTCCCAGTGCATTCCTGGAAGCGGTGCCTGACAAGGAATTTCTGGGTGGAAGCATTCCTGTTGCATCACTCAGGGGCAGTTGGGACACACAGGCTCTGATCCCTGTGGCCTCCCAAGCTCAGATCCACTCTGACCCACAGCAGTGGACTGGGAACCCTGGCCCTACCCTGCAGCCAAGCAGCAGAAAAGACTGGTCTCATCTACCTCCTCAGCCTCCACCTCCCAGTACTGCTTTGTCCTCCCACCTTCAGCACTTCTCAGGCTTTTACCTCTCCTGGACTAGTTAGTACCCAAGTCCAGCCTGCCTGGCCCTGACCCTCCCTGTTTTGTTTATCCCATCCTCAGCCCATGGGCCATCCCCCACACTGCACCTCCAGGCCAGGTGCTTCTCTGCTCCCAGCACCCTGCACCTGCAGCACCAGGTGCCCCGGATATAGTCCAGGGCCTTTATGATGACCAACCACACCACTCTAATCTCCCACATGCTCCCGTCCTCAACCAGCAAGGGACAAAAATCCAGGAAGTTCCACAATCAGGCCCACAGTGTCTACTCTGCAGCCAAGCATCTCTCCAGGGATGAAGGGCTGGACAGCTGCCCTTTTCAGAGGCAGAAATGGCTGCCTTGAAGGGAAGAAAAGGAGTCAGTGACAGCACAGGCATTGAAGGACCAGCCAATGTTTACTGACCTACTAGGCAGATGCCTTATAGGCCTTGTCTCAGCCTCCACAGTACTCCAAAGCAGCATGCCAAGTCCAACCGTCTTTACACTCCTCACAAGCCCACTACTGTGCCTCCTGTAGAATGGGATTTCTGTGAACCAACCAGTACCATGGTGTCAGGTGAGGTGGACACCCTGATCCCTGCTGTGACTTAGTGGCCATCTGGCAGACACTGTCAGGGAGAACAAGCCCAGGCTCTGCTTGGGGGCTACTCAGACCACATGCTCTTCCCCTAGTGTCTGCACACAAAGTGCCCTCTGTCTAGAACACTCTTCACCCATCTTTTGGGCTACTGGCCTTTCAGGTCCCTTTGCAGCTTCCTCCGGGAAGCCCTGCTGGATCTCCACCCCAATCTGGGTTATTCCTCTGTGTTTTCCAACACTCGGGGGTTCTTTGCTCCCTTTGGGTGTTACAGCAACTGCCTCTAGGGTCAGAATGCTAGCTCCTCAAGGACAGGGGATGCCTTATTCACTTCTATGCCCCTAGAATTCAGCTCAGGAACTGGCACAGAGCAGAGGCTTAGTAAATATGTGTTGAATGAACTACAATCTGTTGAGAGCTTACTCTTGGGTATTCAGTCACTCCCTGGCTGGTGGGAGAACACCTAATGCCAAACGGATTATCTGCTTTTCCCTTCCTCTATCCTCACCTCGCCATCCACAATATGCTCTAAAGATGGGCAAATCTCTGAGTCTGAACTCTGTGCCTCTTGAAAGCCTCCATCCTATCTCCCCTTCCAGCTATTGGCCAGGCCTTCTCGGTGCCTGTTAGACTACTTTTGGTTTCTCTCCTCTTCTAAACTGCACCTGGT